CTCCGGAGTTTTGAATTATCATCACTATACACTTCTGCAGGCGGCTACATCGCCCTGTGTGAAGCTGTGAATCCCCATAGAAACTAGCTCCTCCCCCTCATAGGCTCCATCCAGATGTGATTTTGCGAACAGCAGCTCCTCAATCTGATTATAGGAAACATGGCAGGAGTCCACTTTAATCCCGATTTAAAAAAAAAAAAAAAAAAAAAAAAACTGTGCCCCATCCACACGCTTATAAACACAAAACAGAAAATGCCAATGACCCCGAATCACACCACATCTGACCTTAATGCCCTGAATGTGTGACACTGACCACGTATGCACTGCAGTCAGTTTCACAATAATGTTTATATTTACTTTATAGCCTAACATGTATAATTCAAATAAAGAAGGGAACTATTCTTTATAAATACTGGACTACTCTTTCATTAGGTAATTTTATTTTGTTATTATAGCTTTTTTTTTTAAATCTTAACTTAAATTCAGGGTGTCATGGTGGTGCATTGGGTAGCACGGTCGCCTCACATCAAGTAGATCGCTGGTTCAAGCCCCGGATGGGTCAGTTGGCATTTCTGTGTGGAGTTTGCATGTTCTCCCCGTGTTCGCGTGGGTTTCCACCAGGTGCTCCGGTTTCCTCCACTAAGACAGGTGGTACAGGTAAATTGGGTAAGCTAAATTGGCCGTAGTGAAGAAGTGTGTCTGGTTGTTTCTCAGATATGGTTTAAAAGAAGGGCATCCACAGTGTGAAAAATATGCTGGATAAGTTAGTGGTTCATTCGTTGTGGCGACCACAGATTAATAAAGGGACTAAGCGGAAACGAAAATGAATGAATGAATGAACTTGAATTCAGAGTGTCATGGTGGTGCAGAGGGTAGCACGATCGCCTCACAGCAAAAGGATTGCTGGTTTGAGCCCCGGCTGGGTCAGTTGGCATTTCTGTGTGGAGTTTGCATGTTCTCCCTGTGTTCACCTCCGGTTTCCACCAAAGACATATGCTACACTGTAAAAAGTTGACTCAACTTAAAATTTGAGGCCAACAAACTGTGGTACAGGTGAATAGAATTAGCTAAATTGGCCATATAGTAGCTGAAGAGATAATGAATGAATTTGAATTCACTCATTTAATTAGTAGACTATTCATTTATTTTAAAACACAAAATAACAAAAATATCATAACATTTCTTTCAAGTAGGCAAATGTAAAATGTTAATTTAAAAACTGAATTTTTATTATGGTAAATCTGATACGTTAAAAAAAATGTTATTAGAAAAAAACCGGCAGGGTCACATTGGCAGGGTCACATTGGTGCCGTGATCCGGATGGGAGAGAGGTTTAGGAAGGTAAGTGTAAGCAGAGGCTAGCTAGTAAAGTGCTGTGCCGGTAAACCTCACTCCTCTGACCTCTAAAAGGTGCTCTAGCTGCAGATGCTAGAGGCCATGGTCTTTAGCCCCCTTGGTAGAGGAACCTACTGTACTTCCATGCGGAAAGTCACCAGTTTGATCCCAGCTCAGAGTGTGTTGAGTGGTGTAGGACCAGCAGGGTTACATATGTACAATGAAATAGTATATTTGAGCATATATTTGCAATTCCAATAGTTGATGTGCCATTTTTGCAATATTTTTGAATATATGTGACGTATATTGTGTACAATCCAAACTTGAACTTGTATGCAGTGTAATTAACTATTTATGTGAAGGACGCAGGCCTTTTTTCCTTGCATAAATGCTTAGTGTTCAAGATAATGCTGAATTAAATATTCTGTATCGTATGTGTAATGCAATTATTTAAATTAACCCATAGCTTGGAGGGATATGCAGCTTTTGCATACTCTGTTTGCACAGACAGGTCACATCATCAGGGCATTCCCAATATAGTGTGACAGGGCATGTATCACAGAAGCAGCTGAAAATCCCAAACTGCTCCACTGAGCACTTAAAAACCCTTTGAAGAGTTGTGGTTAACTCAGAGTTGAATATTCTTGAACTGCAAGTGCATTAAAAAAAAAAAGCTGGGCATACATTTTCTTCTCATGCTGCTGGCTTTCTAAAATGTGGAGCTCTCATTAAAAACAGAAAAAAAAGTGTCTTAATATAAAAGTCTTTGGTGGATACCTTATTTTATTGCTGCTGTAAAATTATCCACCTTGAAATGCTCATTTTGAGAGTTTGGTGCATCTTGAGACTAAATTATACATAGGTTAACGTATGCTTTATTCAGATGTTTTTCTGTCAGTTTTGCTTTTTAATTGAATATTTAATTACGGCTCAGAACAATGTTTTATGTCTATTTTTTACATTTAGTGGCAAGTAGCTGTGTAATAAACTGGATAAAGTTTATCCAGGCAGTTGGTATTGCATAATAAAGCCCAATAGGTTTATTGGCAGCCGGATGCAAAGCAGAGGTTTTATAAGACTGAAAAGCTTCCCTCCCTAAAGACTAAGGAGCAGACCTCTGCATCAAGCTGCCGATAAGCCTCTCTGACTTTATTCTGTGATAACAACCACTTGGATGCTTGGATTCCTTACTCTAACAACATCAAAAAGGAGAGAACCTCTTACCACTCTTTAGTGAATTTGTAGTAACTTTAATAGCCTAAGTTATGTGACATAAGTGCAAATCGGAGCAACACATTGCTCACTCCAGTTTGCATAATGGCCACTGGTGTCACCAATAACAGGTCAGTAACCTTTATAATATCACATACAAAGAATTACCTCGGGTTTAGGTAAATAAACTGCATTGCTCCAAATTAGAATTTTTGCTAAAGCACCCACTATTAATGTTCAGTCTACTTGAATTTAAACGGTTAACTTAAGCATTTTGTGTTGGAACAACATGAAGGAATTGTGTTGGTCCAACTACCTGGTTCGGGAACTTGTACTGTACCCCTCGTGCTTTGCAAGGGATTGAATTAAGAGAGGAAAATGTTGACAATAAAAGTAATCTTAAGTGTTTTAAGTCAATAGAAAGACTTAGAGATAGAGTTTACTCTTCACTTCAATTAGACGATTTAGAAAAGTTTCATGTAATGATTTGAGTTTTGATATTACAATCTTGCAGAAGCACCATGTCTTGGGTGTTGGCAGCTTAATTGGCAAAAATGCAGTTTGTTGCTTGGCTCAGTGAGCAATGACTGTCCTAAAATTAGTTCTGAGATCAGCCTCAATCAGAATGGCTCTTTTAGGTCATTTAGAATAACTTAAAAAAAAAAACAATAAAGAGTCTTCGAAATGTATGACACGTAGTAATATCAGACCTTTGAGTTTAAGTTAAAAAAAAACAAATTTATTAAAACTTGGACTAACTAAATTGCATTTATTTGTGTAAATATTTTAGTAACACTTTATTTTGATGGTCCCCCTTTAGATAGTCTGCTGACCATAAGTTACTTTTCAAGTTCTTATCTGTTTACTCTCATCTGGGTAGTATCTGTAGATTGTCTTTTAAATGTTCTTTAGTTGGTGCTAAACAAATTTATTAGATGAAAATCCTGCCCTCAATTAATTTGCATTTATCCAATGAGTTATTTTTTTAATGTGACAACAGCCTCTTTAAAGAAAAAGTTCAGCTAAATTTAAACTCACCCTCAAGTTTTTTAAATTTTACTGTTGAAGATATCGTTATAAAGAAGATGTTTTGGGAAATTTTGCTAACTGGTACCAGATTGGTGCATCCCAATTAGTTTATTTATACATTACACCCAAAAAGTACTGCATCTACTTTTTCGTGAAGTAAAAGTATACACAGGCCTATACTTAAAAGTGGGCAAGCTTTGGGCCATGATACTTTGTCATTAACGGACTATTCTATTGCTTAGTTACATGCCCTGTCAATCATCTTGACGATTTCTACACATTTATTTTGTAATTAACTTTCTGCATTGGAGTATAAGCAATTTAATCTGCCATTTGTTGTTCTTTCATGCAGATAAATCTCCTCAAGTGTTTGCATAATTGTGCATTCAAACATTAACGACCAAATGCATCTTTAAAAAGGTTCACAATGTTATCCCAGACAAAAAAATAACAAGAATAACATGAAATAATATTTTTCATCAGCTTAGATATTAATAATTAGTCACCCCTTTACCTAAATCTCTCAACTGTATGGTGATTGTCTTTTTTGTCACTTTTTTTACAGGTAATAGCAGTAGTGAAAGTACTGTATATTGTGGTGAAGTACTGGTGAAATTGGAACACTCATTCAAACGCTGAAATTTGAGACACACAAATACTTTTTTGGATTTGTGGTCTGCAAATTGTGATGCAGCAATTGACCACCACAGGGAAAACAACTACAACATTTTTTTTTTTCAAAATAAGAAACACACCTGGTTTGGACTAAACTGAGGTTGAGTAAAAGTATAATTGTTCGATTTAGGGTGAACTATCATTTTAACATGTGTTTGGTTTTGTAGAAATCGGAATATGTGCTATACTAAATTTAGGTTATGGAAATCAGGTTAATGCATTAACATGGCTGTAATCACAAACCAGTGGATATAAGAAAATGCTTGAGAATGTAAACAGGATCAGTAAATCTGACTATGAAACAGCTAAGTAATACAAATGAATTTAATACAAAGTAATACAAATTCATTTAATCCCATAAATTGTTGTATTCCTGCAATGCACATTCTCTCCTCACTAATATTTCACTGTCACAGGGTGTTCTAGGGTGGTGGGGTAAAAGAGGACAGTTATTTGGCCTAGATGGCGTTCTCTTAGCACAGATCTCTCTGTACTCTAAAGATAAATACCTCACTCTGTACTTCCTTACCATTTAGCGTTTTTTAAATGAATGATCTTTCATTAACAACTTAAGTGAATTAAAATGGCCCAGAGCAGTTCAGATCTGAAGGGAAAACTCCTCCCAGTCATTATTCTTCACTCAGCATATCTCGTCAGCTATTTAAAACCAGCCGTGACACATGCAGCAAGGCAAAAATAGCCAGCACTTCAGTACTAGAAACTTCTCCAAGCCACAAGGGTGCATTGGTGGCAAAACAAAACTTTTAAAAAGGATTCCACCAAAATGGAAGACTCCTACCCCTGAAAAAAAATGTAAATATTGTGCTTGAAGAGACTTTGTATTCTTGCTTCAAAACAAAAACATTCTTGTTTTGATTAATTTGAAGACACTTTCAAAAATGACAGCAGTTTTGGATCAGTTTATGGAATTTCACTCAGTTCATGGGACCAACGTTCAACTGGACCCTTCGAGGACTCGAGCCACCAGAGTAGAAAGTTTTGCAAATGGCGTCTGCTTCAGTAAAGACCCTTTAAGCCCAGGGGAGATTTTCCTAGTGGAGATTGAAGAGAAAGAACTAGGCTGGTGTGGTCATTTGAGGATCGGACTGACTGCCCATGACCCTCGAACGCTGGACACTGTGCCAGAATACTCTTTGCCTGACCTGGTAGAAAAGGGAGACAGCTGGGTGTTCGCAATCACAAGAAATCACAATAAAGTCACTGAGGATGAAGGAGCAGAAGTAGAACAGCCAAATGAGGGTAATGACACCAGCAACAAACCTAAAACCTTTTTCACAGACACTCATTTGTATATTGAAAACATGGGAATACCTAGAGATAAACTAGTGGGACGCAGTCGTCCGGGGAGGTTCAGTCACATTCTGGATGATCTGTACAAAACCAACGCTCTACCACCAACTGCCCGCCGTAGTCGGATAGGGGTTGTCTATGTACCAAAGGGAGAAGGTTGTGCCAACATGCACATTGTCATCAACGGTGAAGACATGGGAGCCTCTGCTAAAAGGATTCCCACTAATAAACCATTATATGCAGTTGTGGATGTATTTGCAGCTACTAAATGTGTTCGGATTGTTCAGGTGGAATATGGCTGTAAGTTTGATTTTGCTCGTATGATCATATGGCTCATGTTGTGACCAATTGTAATGTTTTCTCTTCTCTGGGTTTGTGTTTCAGTTGCCTCATTGCAGACACTCTGCCGAAAGACTATCCAGAAACACATCGTTCACAGGATGGCTTTGGATTGGTTGGAACTTCCGGAGTTACTGAAACATTATTGCAAATATGAGTGAGCAAAACATATTGGCCCTTGGCCTTGTGGATAATTATGGACACTTTTTTTTTGCTTACATGTTGGCTGTGTTAATGCAAGTACTGTAGCTTAAAGGTTGGTAAAAGGGGGATTCTTTTATTGAAGTTGAATAGTTTACCCTGATTGGCGTTCAGAAATCTATTTTACAATAAATAAATAAATAAATAGTTATACTTGGGACCTTCTGGAGAAAAATATCCAAACGTTATTAAGAAGGCTTCTATTTAATTCAATAAAAAAATGTGTAGTATTTAAGCAAATTTTTTAAAGTTTGGTTTTGCTTTTTAAAACTCTGCTTTTGAGGATAGCAATCCAAATATATGTAAGTATGCAATTAGAATTATCTGGTTTTGTTGGTACAAATTTCAGAGTTTGTTTTGTAAACTGAAAAATTTGTGTGTGTTGTATGTGTTTTTTTTTTTTTCAATGTGATACTAAAAGCAGCAAAATGTATGTTTCTGATATTGACATACGTTTTCATTATTTAAACAAACTGTTATGACTTTCAGGATAATTTAGGATAAAGATTAATGTCATCAATATTAATGCCTTTATGGAAGTTATCATGGCTCTTTCTGGTCATTTTGGACAGATTTTTTGTTCTTTACAATTTCAGAAATAAAGGTACGCAAACTGTCACTGGGGTGGTACCTTTTCAAAAGGTACACATTTTTTACTTAAAGTGGAGGTGTGGCACCCAACCCCACCCCTAACCCCAACCGTCATTGGGTGATGAGCAAATCATACTAAATTGTACAAATTCATACTAATTAGCCACTAAATCAAAAAGTTATGAATTGCTGTAAAATTGTGTTGGTACCTCAAAAGTATATATTAGTACCAAAGATTTTAAAAGGAACACTTTTGTACTTTTTAGGTAATACAGTATGTACCCTTGAGGTATTAATATGGACCTTAGGTACAAAGTTGTACCTTTTGAAAAGGTACCACCAGTAACAGCTGCCATTCCTTTGTTTCTGAGAGTGTAGACATGTGTAACTTTACATTGATGCTTAAAAGTTAAGCATCCGTTTAGATGGTAGCAAATACTTGTTTAACAGGAGCCACTGAAGTTGCTTTATTTGTTCTTCTTTTGTTCTTATTCAACTAAAAAGTAATCATCACAACAGTATAATAAATATTCTTTAAATTCAGGGAACAGACAGTGTCCATGTGTTTCTTTTTTTTAACACTTCCAGCAGTTTAAAAAAACAGGCTTTTAAATGACTATACTCTATTTTGCATTTATTGAAAAATAATAAAATCACACAAATAAATAAAATTATAAATAATAATTCAACTGGAAAAATTAGCTTAAAAAGTGTCTAATTATTGCATAGTATCATAAAATTATACATTATAATTAAAACAGGTTTCTGAGCAAAATGTTTCACATTAATTTTCTAGCAGGGAAAATTACATTTCAAAGTCAAGTAACCCAGTGTGACCCCTAAACAACACTGACTAAATAATTCATTTGATTCACAAAAAAAAATTAAGGTAAGTGGTTGTAAACAATTTATATTGGCTGAATTTAAACAAACAAATAAAAAGGTAATGTAATGTTCAACTTATTTTATTTGTTTAAATTCAGCTTATAAATTGTATTTGCAATGAACCGTTTTCTTAAGTGAAGGATGAAGTTATTACACTTGTAAAATGTGATTAGTTACTTAAAGCGAGTATTGCCTTAAAAAAAGAAACAAGTTGAGTTTACAAGAAAAAATAAAGTAAAACCACTGTAACTTGGAACTGTTGAGTTTATTTAATTTTTATAATTATGCAAATTGTACTTACCTTTTTTCAAATAAAAGTAAACTAATCACTTTTTTCCACCACACCTTTATTATATTTGTTTTTTCCAGCTTTTCTGTTATTAGCTAAATGACAAACAGTAACTAAAATAGATCTGCTCTTCCAAACTCCAGTGTGTCTTCTAACTTCATTACAGGCTATAATTATAGATTTTGTTAACATAATAAAGCTCCAAATATGTGATATTTTAGTAATTACAGAAATTATTTGAAAACAGACATACTAAAATAGTTTGACTCTGTAAAAAGAGATTAGTTGACTTTAAAAAGTGAGTGCAATTAGCATAATTATAAAAATGAAGTCAACATAACAGTTCCAAGGTACAACATTATCTTTGTAAAGCCAACTTAGCTTTTAAGGCAATTGGTTTACTCACTTTAAGTAACTAATCACTTTTTACAGTGCTATATGCTTCCTTTACTTTAGTGGGGTGACAGCTTTATGTGTATATTTAGCCTACATGTTAGAGAAGGCCTGACATTAAACCAGTGTCTGCAGTGTCAGGCCTGAATATCCTCTTCAACCCCATGAGACAGTAAAATCTGTGTTGACATATCACATCAGTACCTTTTGAAAGGGTAAGGTACTTCTTGTGACCTTTATACCTTTTTGTGTTCAGTGAGCCATTACTGCATTTGTAAAAATGTCAAATTAAATGTCAGCCTGACCCCAAATACTATAAAAGGAGGCTATTAAAAACATTTACTTTTTTTTTAAACTCAGTCTTAAGTTTTTAAAATCAAGCATAATTGAAATAAAACTGACTCATGATTCATTAATTTTCTTTTTGGCTCAGTCCCTTTATTAATCTGACGTCACCACAGCAGAATGAACCACCAACTTATCCAGCATATGTTTTATGCAGCGGATGCCCTTCCAGCTGCAACCCATCTTTAGGAAGCATCCATATAAACTCATTCACGCTCATTCATTACTTACAATTTAGCCTAACCAATTCACCTGTACCACGTCTTTGGACTGTAGGGGAAACCAGAGCACTGGGAGGAAACCCACACGAACGCAGGGAACCAGCGACCTTCTTGTTGTGAGGCTAAAGCACTACCTACTGCGAAACTGTGTTGCCTATTCATGTTAAATAAATATGTTAATAAATATACATATATATAAAGTACAGTAAAGACTAGAAATATGTAATATAGTAACTCAATAGAGAACAAATACTTAGAAAAAAGGACATGTTTTTTTAATTGTGGTCTTTAATTTAGAGCCCACTGTAATTTATTACTTTAAAAATGTTGCTCAAAAACACTTAAAGCAACAATAAAAGTTTAATATGAAATTAATTTGACTTAAAAGTGTTTTGAATATATTTAAAAATGTATTTAATTAATAATTTAAAAGACTTAAGCTATCGTAGATGTGATGAATTGTTTGGCTGAGCTGCACTGACACCTACTGGTCTTTCAAGGACAGTTTGCTGAGTAGTTTTGTAAGGGTCACGTGACCGGAAGATTAAATCGTCCTTTATTTTCCAGTTTGTATTCATACTCGTTCTGCGCACAAATACGTTGTTTCACTGTAAACCTCTATCAAACTATGTCTTTTTGTTCTTTTTTCGGGAAAGAGTTTTATAAAGATCACTTCAAACCTGGTATGTAGTATTTTTGTATTATTTACTCTACCTGCTTCTTTACCCCCAAGAAGGATTATGATGTAACTGTTTATAACAAATACTTTGCCTGCTAATAATGATTTAATAAATTGTATGAATATTTTTAAAAATGTGTTTGTGTTACAAACTGCTCAGAAAAAAACATAACAAACATATGTATGTGTGTAACATTTAAAGCATGATGTTCCTCTGCAGGTATATATGCTTGTTCCCAATGTGGACATCCGCTGTTTTCAAGTAGATCCAAATATGAGCATTCCTCCCCCTGGCCTGCCTTCACAGAGACTATCCGAGAGGACAGTGTAACAAAAATGATGGAGACCTTAACAGCCTACAAGGTCAGGCTCAGACTTAAAATATTAGATCATTTCTGGTAACATCGAGGAAAATAATAACATTTACTTGTAAATTTACGTCATATATGGGATTACATCATATTTGCTTAACTAAATTAGCTAAAATCATTATAATTCTAAAAGAACAGTGATGTTTTAAACTGACTTAGGGGTAATATGATTACAATTAATTATTCATATTAATCAATATGAATATCAATATCTGTTTCTTTTAAGTTTAAAACCAGATTTCTGCTCCTGAGAATAAGTCGTTGAAATCAGACTGTTAATTGTTCATCTAAAGTACACATTTTCCTGCATACATAGTAATGACAAAACAGTTTTAATTGAGAACTAATATAATTACAAAAACAATTTGTACAAATACACAAAAAATAATTATTAATAGTTATTTAGGATTAATAAAATCCTAAATAAAAGTTTGACATAATATATGTATGTGTACTGTGTATATTCATTATGTATATATAAATGCACACATGCATGCATATATTTGAGAAAATGTTTATTTATATTTAGATATAAAACATATTTGTGTAATACAAATTATATACAAATTTAAATATCTGTGTATCAAAACTGTATAGTTTTATTTCTTTGTATGTGTGTATATCACATATACATAATAAATATACAGTTGAAGTCAGAATTATTAGCCCCTCTTTTAATAATTTTTTTTTTTATATTTCTCAAATTATGTTTAACAGAGCCAGTGAAATTTTCACACTATGTCGATAATGTTTTTTCTTCCGGAGAAAGACTTGTTTGTTTTATTTCGGCTAGATTAAAAGTGTTTTTAAATTTTTAAACATCATTTTAAGGATGAAATTATTAGCCCTTTTAAGCTAATTTTTTTTCAATAGTCTAAAGAACCAAACATCGTTATACAATAACTTGCCTAATTACCCTAACCTGCCTAGTTCACCTAATTAAGCCTTTAAATGTCTCTAGCTGTATAGAGGTGTATTGAAAAATATCTAGTCAAATATTATTTACTGTCATCATGGCAAAGATAAAACAAATCAGTTATTAGAAATGAGTTATTAAAACTATTATATTTAGAAGTGTGTTGAAAAAAAAAGTTCTCTCTGTTAAACAGAAATTGAGGGAAAAAATAAACAGGGGGCTAATAATTCTGACTTGAACTGTATATAATACACACACATATATTGTTTCAAAACAAACTTTTATTTTGGTTGCAATTAATTTTTGCCTAGCACTATATAATATAGATAATATATTTTTATCCTTACTTGAACTAAATGATTCAAGGTAAGGCAGTTTTTCTGTGGTATTCGCATATCACATTTCCCATCACATTTGTTAAAGATCTTTGTACAATCAGTGCATTGCTACATGTTTATATGTGCACATACAGGTTCTGTGTGGGAAGTGTGGTAATGGCCTTGGCCACGAGTTCCTGAATGATGGGCCGGAGGAGGGCTTATCACGATTTTGAATATTCAGTCACTCGCTCAAGTTTGTCCCGAAAGGTACGTCAACAACAACAAAATACCATTGTCTAATAGCTTTACATACAGACTTAACCACTTAAATTTTTCATTATCATTTTTCCCCATTAGATAAGGTTGATAAACACTAAGCGAGGAGACTGATGAGGCTGCTGTTGCGCACACTGGCACTGGACGTTCAGCTCATGAAGTGGTCATGGAAAAGCCCTGGAAAGAGGGTCCTGTTCACAGATGTTTTATGACCATCCAGGATGCCACAAAGACAAAGAAATCTATTTTTTTTTTACTAGTCTATAAGCTAATTATGAACATTAACAAATGAATGAATGAAATTACCAGTAATAAAACCTGTCTGAAATATTAGAGTTAATATCTGGAGTTAATCTACATTGTTATTATTATTAATATGAAGAATAACTTTTCAACAATAATACAGCATGTTGTTAATTTGATTTTAAAAATATTTTAATTGTTTGTTCGGTTGAATTGATCATCCATTGTCTGAATTGTTTGTCAATGAATCCTGCATTAATGCTTTTTTGTTGTGTGTGCACCATGAAGTCATTGCAATTTAAGTTAGGCTAATATTGAATTGAAATTACCTTTTTATTTTTATTTCCACTATTAAAGAATAATTTGTAGCAGTTCTCTTTGGTGCCTGTCTTTTAAATGTATATGCAGTGACCTTTTTATTTAGCATTGTGTCAAATAACCCATAAAGTTACAAACAATCTAAAAATAAAAAAAACAGCTTTTTTTTTGAAAGCAAATCAAGTTTAATATTGCACCCTATATGATTTTAACTAGTATAAAGTATCAGGACTTGTTGACATAATTGAATTTGACCCCTAAATGAGCTCATATATCCAGTTTTGACTGCATTGCCAATATAAATTTTGAAAATTATAGATAGAAAAAATGCTTTAGGACAAATTCAATTTTTATTTATTCAAGTGGCCATATTCTGACTGAGGAAAGTTGAATTAATTGGCCAGGTTTTTATTTGACCATAGGCTACAGTTTTTATTTTAAAACAAGTTTTATTAGATTCCTTTTTTATTTTAATGATTGATGATAACACGTTTGCGTGTAAAAAAAAATACTTTTTCATATTATCTCATTTTTAAATGCTAATCTCAACAATATTCATAAAACTATACTCATTTATAGTTTAAATTTGTAAATAAACATTTTGTGGTAAAATAGTATAGTTAGCACTTCGACAAAACTAGAGAATTATTTTTGTTGCATCAAAAAAGTGGTTATAATCACTATCCCACAATCCAGCAAAGATAGTTCTTAAAATGTCACTAAAATGCATAGTTGAATTACAACTTAGCAAAAGGTCTACTTTTTCAGAAAAAAAGAACCAAACATGGCCTTTTTCCTGAAAAGTTCCATAAAAAGTTGTTTATATTTATTTAAGAATGTTATTTAAATGTAAATTGCTTCTAACGTCAATTATGGCAGAAAACTTTGTGGGTTAACAAAAAAATAAATAAACAAATAAAACCTGACTCCTTAAAACCGCCAAAAAGACGGCGCGCGCGAAAAACGGTCACAGCGTAGATTATTTCATATCCAGCTAGAGGCTCAGCCGGTCACCTCAGCAGCAGTTTCTGGTTTTGTGAGAAGCGAATGAGACTTGTTATCTCGTTATCTGAAGGTAAACAAATAAGAATTTCACTGCTTTCTAATGAGATATAGGGTACAGATAAAGTAACATTAACTTTTTTTTTACATAAATGTGTAGTTTTTTTCTTCAGCGCTTGCTTGTTAGTTTTAAGAGAAATGTACGAGCTAGCTTGTGATAACGTTAAGCCATTTCCGTTCAGCACGTCTTAATATTATAGCTCCTTGTCTTGTGGTCATTTATTTCTGTTGTTGTGACACTTGTGTTTCAGAGATAAAAAATGACGTACGCTCCAATGGGAAGCTATGTGCCAATTTCTGACCTAAACATAAACATCACACACTCGGTGAGAACCTGCTCTGGCAAATGGCAGAAGACATAAAGTGAATTAAATGGCTTGTTGTGGTGGTATTCTAATTTTAATGAATAATTAGTCAATTGCTTAAAATGTTTAAGTTGCCTCTAGTTTAAATAATTAGTGTACTTATTAGTATAATATACTGTACTTTTCATACACAGCCACTACATTGTTTTGATTATCATATGACTAGTCAGTATATAAACTTATGACTATAAGTATATAAACGTGTTTACAAGATGCACATGACACGTTTACAAAATATACATATACGGACTTGTTGGAATAAGTAAAACATTCTTAAGTGTTATTTTAGTGCACATATTAGTATAATGTACTGTTATAAATTCACATTTGATTTAATATTGATTAATATTAATTTTTTTAAATTATTGTAAGTCAATAAGTCAACCTCATAATGAAAGGTTACATGTAATGAATATATATATATAGATTCAATTGGTAAAAAAGGCTTTTTTTTTATTTTCTAGAAGGTGGTGGGGGTGATAATTGGAAAAACTGATTCAAGAGGATTTCCTGACCGGAAAAGTTTGTTACCATAACATTATTCATTTTTTTTCTATTTTCCTTTTTTTCTTGTTTGTTTATTTAGATTTTTCACTTTTGTTCAGTTCAGTTTCCCCTTTTAATCTGTTTCAAAATGTGTTTAGATGTTGGGTCTGAAAGATTCACTTTCAGCTTCACCATCAAAGATTCACCAGAACATTTTATCAATGTGTCTGCATGGGGAAATGAGGAATACATTCAAGCACTGAGCTGTCGCTTTCAGATCGGGGATTGTGGTGAGATTGTAAAACAGCTGTTTTAGTTGTCAATTCCAAAAAAAAACACTTTTAATAATACATAAAGTGTATTTAATTGACACGGTAAGCCAAAATAACGTCTTGTGTTTTAGTTGTAATTGAAAATCCCCTCGTTGTGACCAAGGACTATGAGAAAGAAGAACGGTTTTGCCCTTCAACACCTAGGTAAAAAATTAAAAATGAAAATAGCATCAGTTTTAGATACATCATACTCTGTATTTGTGACACATATACCTATTTTATCTCAGTTCCTACAGGTTGTTGCTTACAGAGACTCACTCGAGCATTAGGATATGCTCAGACATAGACACTGAGGCCAGGATTCTGCCGCTATTTCACATACCAATCAAAGACCCAAGAGATTTCTATTCGTTGGGAGACATTACTGCAAATGGACAAAGTCTGGATGGACACGTTATTAACATCCTAGCAGCTGTACAATCGGTTAGATTTCAACTGTTATCACCAGACTTTCTCTATGAGTGTGGGATATTAACAAACAAAAAAAGTTAATTTCCCACTAGACTTTATTCCCCATGTAAATTAGGCCTACTACAATTTTATCAACGATTGAGATTTTGTCATCATAGGTTGGAGAGGAGAAATTCTTTACAAAATCTGGTGGCTGCAAAGGACAGAGAATTGAAATAAAACTCTTCGATGACACTGGGAGATCATTTCCTTTTGTTTGGTGAGTAAAATTTGATTCAATTTCATTAAAATGAACAAAAACAGCAGCAATAACATCATTCCTTTAATATATTTTTTGCTTTTTTTCATATAGTTGGGATAAAGAGAATATTCGTCTGGTGCAAACGCTGACACAAAGAGAAACAGGTGTGATAAAATTTATTTGTCTGTTCTGTTTTTTGCTAACATGATAACACAATAAGGCAGAGATGCTCATAGAAGGAATGATGGAGAGGGTTGGAGCGCATGCCTTTACCAGAGATCGTCATTTTTAATTTTACGTGACGTTGTTTGTTTGTTTTATTGCTGAGCTACAAAAAGCAAACTGAAATAAAAAAAAATTTATTAGATGTTGCAAATGATCTGATTTCATAAAATGTAGATACTATAGCAAAAACTAGTGGAACTCCATTCTGCTATAAATGAGATTTAAAATAATAAAAAGATTATAATATATTATTCCCAGAAATGGGTTGCGGCTGGAAGGGCATCCGCTGCGTAAAAACGTGCTGGATAAGTTGGCGGTTCATTCCACTGTGGCGACCCCAGATTAATAAAGGGGCTAAGCCGAAAAGAAATCGAATGAATGAATGAATACTATATTACTCAATATAAAGCAATGTTTTCTAGTTATTTTTAAATATTATGAAATGAATTACAAAATTACCCATGGCAGCTATATTTACCTTCGGCCCAATCAGGTGTGGTATTTGGCCCTTCATAAGAAAAAGTTTGGGCATCTCTGCAATAAGGATTTACTAAACTACTAATTAACTAACCTGATCAAACAATCATACATACATTTATTACAGTATTCATCCTATGTTACTTAATGAAAATACCATTATTAACTCATAGAAAATTAATTAATGCTACTAAGCACAACTTTGGACCAGTACGCATTTCACTGCACTATTTTCTAATTTCACTATGGGACTATGTATGACTGTGTATATGACAATTAAGTTAGAATTTTGATTTGTGTTAATTACATCAAGGATAATAATAACGAGATTGTTCATTGCTTATATGGCTTTAACATCTGTGCTAGAAACGTGACTGAAAACTATCAATGCACATGCTCTGATCCACTCCTCAATAAAAGAATAACACAATGCAGTGGTCCAGCAGATTATAATAAAAATGAATCAGTTAATTATAGTGCTGCGCGGTATTGGAAAAAATATGACATTTCGATATTTGTTTTTTCTGCTATATATACATTGATATGAATAAAAGTTTATCCGATGGCTTGAATAGCTCTACTTAGAAAGAAATAATTAGGATTGATTGGAATTTTTTTCTAAGGGTGTAAATCATGTATAAAAAAATGATAAACAAGCTCCAAGCAAAAATAATTACACCAGAGCAATGCAAAAGACAAATAAACAGTACTTACACAGTACACAAGCAGTATTCAAGTGTAGAAATTAAACAATGAAATGTAAAATAACACTGTATAGTTGTACACTGTATAATTTAGTCAAATAAGTTCTCAACAAAGTTACAAATCTACTTTTTTGCCTGAATGCTTCAAACATTTTTGAAATGCATTTAAAACACACGTAAATGATAAACTTTCAATCTGTTATGGTTATACTTTGTTATGACTCAACAAATCTCATGTATTCTTAACTGCGGTGTCAACACTGCATATCCTCCACATTGTGATATCAATGCTGTACAGATATATTGTGCAGCCCTTGTTAATTAGTTATTTTTTGACTACACTTTAGTTTTATCTTTTTCTGTCTGCAATAGTGCATGCTGATGTAGTCACTGTTATCTAATGACATCCATGTTTTCCCGTTTTTGTCTTGTCTTAAGCCTGTCGCACGCGGTGCAGTTTTTAATAATCCTATATGATTGTAGCTTGTCAGAGAGCACGCACATGACACTTATGTCACAATGTAAGATCTCAGCACCGAACAGCAATCAAGCTTCGCCAAACACAGACACACGTAAGAAAACTCATCTGGAGTTTGAAGTCATCCATTTGTTACTCCTTCAGTAGCCGGCGTTCTGAAATAATACCGTCCTGCAAACATATACAACCTGTGGCATTCATTTTTCTCACAACATGCCTTAACAAGCAAACCAAGAAAAAAATTGTTTTAAGATTTCCCTGCGGTGGTTTGAAGTTGTCACATGATTGATTAGATTCGTCATTAGATTCAGTGCTCCTTTTGGTTCTTGGCTTGACGGTCATCATAGTTGAAGTCAACCACAGATTTTAGTCTTGCAATACAGAGATCTTACAGGATTTCTCAAATTTGTCTCAGATGACCAAAGTTTTGCTGAAATTGCAGTGTGTTCAGGTTTTTTGTTGCCTTGCTTTTGTAGACAAATTTAACACTGCTTTGGAATTATTAATGCATTAGTAAATGTTAAAATTAACATTACTTATGTCATTCCAATCCTCTAAGACATTCATTTATCTTCTGAACACAAATTTAGATATTTTAGATCACAGGTGTCAAACTCAGTTCCAAAAGGGCCGCAGCTCTGCACAGTTAGTTCCAACCCTAATAAAACACCTGATCAAACTAATTGAGTCCTTCAGGCTTGTTTGAAACCTACAGGTAAATGTGTTGGACCAGGGTTGGAACTAAACTGTGCAGGGCTTCGGCCCTCCAGGAATTGAGTTTGACACCCGTTTTAGATGATATATAAAAGGTTTCTCATCCTCTATATACAGCAATGGTCTAGAGACGTTCAACGTCCAGAAAAGGAACCAAAAACATTCTCAACACATCTCATGTGACTTTAGTGGCTCAACTGTAATCATATTAAGCTCCAAGAACACTTTTGTGTACCAAAAAAAACTATAAAAACATCTTTGGTTGTTGTTTGTTTGACTTGAGTCCTTTCTTCAGATGCATCAGGTCAGACATTTATTATGGCCAATATGACGCTTGCACCCTGACAATGTGATGAAGAATAGGAAATATTGGTAAACAAAGTCATTTTGACATTAATTGTACACAAAAAAAGAGTTTTGGAGTTAAGTATGGTTACAGTCAAACCACTGAAGTCACATGGAATATAATTTCTGTTCTGAAGATAAACGAAGGTCTCATGTGATTGGAAGGAAACAGAACTATTTTAAGGTGAACTAATACTTAAATTATACTGTAGAGGTATTGTTCATTCTTAGTTCATGTTAGTAAATTAATATTAACTAATGGAACCTTATTGTAAGTTATTATCATTTTTTCAATAGCACTCTGTGATACATATTAATACATTGATTGTATTTATTTTCTCCCAGTGCTGTTCATTGCAGATGCTCGTATCACCTTTGACAGTTTTCGCAAAAGTATGGTGGCAACAGCGATCTCCAAAACAATCATTACCGTCAACCCTGGTAAAGATGTGATATGCTAAAGTAAAGATATTTAATACTTTAACATTAAAATCTTTCATTTTTTTGTTGATTACTTATAGATACAGCAGAGGCAAACCAGCTGTACACATTTGTCAGGGAACTGTTACAATCTGGAGGACTGGATGACCAGGACTTCCTCTCTGGTGATGATGTGCTGTGTAAGTTATTATTGTTCACACTTTACATTAAAATTGCAGTCTTAGTTTTCATGTGATGTCTCACATTTTTCATATAAAGCATTTTAGTTATTGAAATGCTGCAGCAGGGGTTGTATATGGATCACAGGTGCTTAAAACTGTGTTTCTATTGTTTTTTTTTTGTTTGTTTTTTTGCTTTTGGTAGATTATGTAAATATTTGTGGCTTAAAAGTGCAGTAGGTGATCTGCCAAAACGATAACCGCTTGCAGGAATTTCATATATTACTAAGCCACACTTACATGCTATTTCAGAGCGAATATTTAGAGTAGCATGGTAAACAGTATAGGGAGGCTGTCATTGATCATAAATGAACCAATGTGAATATAAAAGCAACTTCAGCCCAATAAAGCAGGTTAGACAGAATAGTGCTGTTTGCTGATGTTTTGGTGTTGAACTAAATAAAAATCTACATTTTCGATGCTGTCGAAGGTCCCTTATGAAACTGAAAATAGTCACATCAATCTTTCGCCGGGAGATTTTAGTGGCTGAACAACACGTCTGTGCATATAAGCCATTCATAACGCAACACAATCTAACATACAATCTAATAGAACATTGCCTGTCTAACAGAAATACTTCAGCCATGTTGTCGTACTTCCTCCAGCGTGCAAAAGTAACTCCAATATTGATTCAGTATTTTCAAAAGTTTCAATTCAGCATTTGATTTCAATGCGTCTGTGATTGTCTCATGAACGTGCGGCGCTCATGCAGGTGGGCACGCGCGAATGGCGGATCTGCGTGAACAGATGTGCAGAAGTCTGAATCTACATTCGCTGACATACAGTTTGAGCTACTTATCGAAATTATGGGAGGTGTTGGCCCGACAATATTTAATTGGATGAACATTGTTTAGTTTTATGCCTTACCCAGAATATAAAAATACATATAAATACATTTAGATCATTTACTGTAATCATTACTATTGGACTGTGAAGAGACTTTTAACCAGAACAACAAAAAATGTTTCTGAAGACAATCACCTACTGCACCTTTAAAAAGTTATCTTGACAGATCTGTACTGCAGTTCTGTCAATGTTTCGCCATACAGTTTGTTAACAAACAATGTTAACAATGTTGACTTACAATCAACTATTCATTTGTTAGAGTATTAACTCTTTTACCCTTCAAATTCAAGGGCCGTGGGAAACTTCGGTGTGTTTATAAAATGTTTGTGGCCTGTGAGAGCATATGATATTATTACATTCACAGTCAATGCAAACTAGGTTGCATGAATGATGTAAAAGGCACACATTTAACACTGTTAAGGAGTAATAACGGTTAAACAGTCTTACAGATATAACCGGCCTTTTGAAGGCAGCCATAATGCTGAAGTAGCCCTCAGTGAAAATAAGTTTGACAGCCCTGCTTTAACAAGGACTGTAACATTGACTGTTTTTGCAGGTTTTATCAATAAAACTGAAAAGTTGCTTAAAGTGAAAAAGAAACAGCTGAATTTTATATTTTTTTAATTAAAAAAAATCAAAGTTAATGTTAACTTTAAAGTTATTATATATGTAGCTATTCGTGATAGCAGAGGTCCATTTGAAAATAACTAATATAATTAAATTATAATTACTAATCAACAACTAATCAGTTGTAATTTGAAATTAATATGAATTTAGATAAATAAACAGGCAATTCTATAATCACTGGTATATTTGGTACCTAAATGCTTTTGTTTGTTTCAGTTTTTGTCAAATGGTTATATTTTCAGTTATCTTAATAACGAGATGTTATAGTTTATAACAATATGTAGTGCAAAAAAGTTTGTTACATAGCTGAGAATCACGATTTCTTCTTGTCTAAATTAGTCAATGTATTTTTCCACCATACTGTAATTAAAATATTGAAATATTTAAAATAAGGAAATATACTTTACTTTAGTAATATTCAATTTATTGGTCACACTATAAAATAAGGTTTCATTAGTTTATATGAACTATTAATGAACCATACTTGTGCAGCATACATTAATCATTGTTCAACATTTACTAATGCCTTTTTAAAATCCTAATTTAGCCTCGTTAACATTAGTTAATGCACTGTGAGTTAACAAACTAACGAAGAAAACATGTATTTTCATTAAATAAAATGAACAAATACTGTAATAAATGTATTGTTCATTGTTTGTTCATGTTAGAAAATGCATTAACTAACATTAACAACTACAACCTTATTGTAAAGTGCCACTGATTTACTATTATTTACAAAAGGGTGTCCTACATAGTCAGTTTTTTTTAATTCTACAACATAGCAAAACTAGTTATTCAAAGTAAAATTGATCCTGTAAAAATAGCATACTGGAAGTGATGTTTGCCCTCACTATTTTGATCTGAAAAGGACTGAAAATTATGTTGTAAAATGTCAAAAGTGTCACCACAAGAGCAAAAGGAAAAAAAAAACTCAATACGAGGTTGTTTACTCTGTCTTTTAACAATGATTTAATTAGTATTTCAGTTTTTGGCTAATGGGTTTAAAGTAGTAAATTACATTACCATCAAACAAACTTTTACCATGAAAACTGCATTATAAAAAACAAATGAATGCAAAATGTATCTGCAGCATTTTATCCTTAAATTTCTTTCCCCTCAGTGGATTCCATTAGAGACGTCATGACAGTAAGCCAACTTAAAACCAGAAGTCAAGAAAATGCAGATGCCATTCATTGCATCATATATGGATTCATCACCTGTTTTGATCTGGGTTCCTCTCCCTCCAAAATAATAACCAAGAGATGGTGAGATTGCAACGCTTACAGTTTTGTGAGATACAAATTCTCATGTCACAATATTAGTCATCATATATCCTGATAAATATAGTAGTCGACATTTAAAATGCATATAAAACATTTCAGACAATTCTTTGTAAATTGAATGAACTTTTACAAACTTTATTGATCCACTTCAAATGCTGACTACTGTATATCACAATATACAGTATATGTGTTTTAATATAAATTCAATTAATTATTAGTATGTATGTAGTGACCGTGCCACATTACAAATTAAATGTAATAATATATTTTTATTATCCATACAATATTTATATATTCTTATATTGCACAGCCCTAGCTTATTTTGCTTTTAATGTATAATTTCTCCACTAGTGCCAGATGCAAATTTCGAATCAATGAGGAGAGTTGGACGTGTTCCAGTGACATTTGTCCAAATCAAGGACAAGAGCTCCAGGCTAATGAATGCTTTGATGTGCTGGTGGACATCAGTGACCACACTGGCACTTTGCAGTCATGCAACCTGGTGGGCACAGTGGCTGAGAAAACTCTGGGCTGTAAAGTGAGCAAATCTAATGCTTATATTAATGCTGGTGAAGAAACAAAGCATTCAAATGTCATAATACATTCAAAATCTGTATACTAAACTTGCATTCTGGGTCTAATTGGTGTTAAAGATTATGTTTTAAAAAATATTTTTCAGCCTATTTGCTCCATATCTCATCTCATTAATGAGTGGATGTAGAATTGAGTGTTACTGATTTTATCTTATTACTCTTTAATGCTTTTTTAATTGTTAATCAAAATATAAAATATATCGATCTTTGAAAATTTCTAATTGCACAAAAACTACACCAAATCCTATTTGATTATGTCATTGTAGGAAATTTATAGTAAATAAAAGAAAAAAGTTTTACATAAGAAATATAAGAATATAGATTCTCGCTAGTTCAAGACCCGGCTAAGCCAGTTGGCATTTGTGTGTAGAGCTTGCATGTTCTCCCCATGTTGGTGTGGGTTTTCTCCAGGTGCTCTGGTTTCCCCCACAGTCCGAAGACATGCGCTATAGGTGAATTGAATAAACTAAACTGTCCGTAGTGTATGTGTGTGAATGTGAGAGTATATATTTGTTTTAAGCATCCGCTGCGTAAAACAAATGCTGGATATGTTAGCAGTTCATTCCGCTGTGGCGACCCTGATTAATAAAGAGACTAAGCCAAAAGAAAATGAATAAATTAATGATTTAAAAAAAAAAACTGTCAGATTAAACGTACTTATTGATTTACCACAAAACAACATTACTCTAAAAAGTTTTCAAACAAATAAACAAATTTTATTTGCATGAAGTTTCAGATTAAGATAGATAGTTTTACAAATACTTTTGGCGCATACTCTTTCTCCATTCATACCCAGGTCCAAAATGGTCCAAATATAAAACTTACAATTAAAAAATACATCTTTTAACTGTAAAGTCATTGTTAAATTACATAGGCCTTACAAAAATAAATTGCTTATTTTTGTGGTTTTAAAGTTCTGTAAAGTTTCATTACTAAAAACATTTTTAGAAAATGTTAGGTGATAGGAATATCTTGAAGAACAAACAAAAAAAGAACTGAATGCATTTTGAGGGTTAAACCACCTAACTCTTTCATTTATTCATTCATTTATTCATTCATTAGTCCCTTTACTCACCAGGGAACGCCACAGCAGAATGAACCACCAACTTATCCAGCACATGTGTTACACAGCGGATGCCCTTTTAGCTGCAACCCTATACTGGGAAACATCCATGCACACTCATTTACACACATACACTGTCCAATTTAGTTTATTGAGTTCACCTACTGTATAGCGCATATGTTTGGACACACATGCCAACAAGGGGAGAACATGCAAACTCCACTCAGAAATATCATCTGATTTAGCCAGAACTCGAACCAGTGACCTTCTGGTTGTGTGCTAACCACTGAGCCACCTTGTCACCAATGGCCTAACTGTCTCTAATAATACATAATAGATATTTAAAGACTGTTAGGATTGTGCAGTAAAGTAATATCATCTTGACAGACAGAAGAGTTTTTGTGCCTGTCGGAGTATCAGCGGACAAGCCTGCAGTGGAAGTTTCTTCTGGAGCGATGCAAAATATATCTGAAGGTTTTACATGTTTGTCATAAGTTTTTTTTTTTTTTTTTTTTTGGAATGTTGATCATGTAAGGATGTAATTCACCATTTTTTTAATCGCAGGTTCTTCCATCTCCCAGAAGGAGAAGTGGAATGAAGGCAGACATCTTGTCATGCGGACTCGCTGACCCCGTTGAAGTGAAGCAAAACCTTGCCTCATTTGTGGTTTGATGTTTTGCATCAGCAACCAAACAACACAAAACAGTTCCTCATATGAGAGCAAATCGATTGTAAACGTGCAGAATTGATTGATTCATTCAATTTAAATGCAGATTATTGAGTAATAGTTTTCACATTTGGTTCCATTGTCCTCCTTTACCTTACACTGTTTTTGTTGTATATTTAAATTAATTAACTTAATTTATTTATATTTATTTTGGTACAGTTAAACTGATGTAACCAATTAAATAAATATTAAAAAAGAACATTTTTCTGAACTTCGGAACTCTTGATTTAAGAATTGTTTCTGGGGGACGGTTTTGGAAGAAGCACCGCTTGGTTTGACATACATGTAAATAATGTCGTTTTCGCTTTTAAGATTATAGATTTACATATACCTAACTGAGGTTTAGCGCTTTCGTCTCGCTCAGGTAAGATTTACTGTACGTTATTTTTAAAATCATGTGTCTCCATGTTTATTTTAGACAATTTTTTCACGCTGAAAATTAATGTATAACTATAACAAGTGTTTAACGTCATTTATTTCTGTGCAACCACAGTTTAATCGTGCTGCAAAAATATAAATAAACAAGCTGTAGAAACATCTATGTTAAAAGGTATTGAGGTACATTTATAAAATTTTGAACAAGCAGAGCTTAAAACTAGGCATTCTTTCGCGTAGATAACTTTAGGTCAGGACTGAGCAGAGCTGATTATGAATGTGAATCAAGGCACCGTCGGAAGTGACCCGGTGATTCTCGCCACCGCTGGTTATGACCACACCGTCAGATTCTGGCAGGCCCACAGCGGGATCTGTACGAGAACTGTCCAGCACCAGGACTCTGTATCCTTCACCCAACAGATGCCCAGTCATTACCAAGCTTAAAGTCTTCTTTATTGTTACCTCTTTAAAAAAAAAAAAACTTTTAAGTGCTTTGTTTTTGCGTAGGATTGTATTTTACAGTACTGTAAAAATACTCAAATGTCTGTCAGTATTTTCAAATAGTAATATTTGATTTACCAGTCATACTAGTGACAATTTCACATCTGTCAAGCCGATAATGGAGAGATATCACATCCATAGGGAAGCGTTTTTCCTCATGAATGCAAAAATGTAAAAACAAATAAAATAAAATCAATGATTTTTGTTTCCATTGTGAGTCAACTCTTATCCTTTTGATTTATTTCTTTTGAGTTGTGTGTGGGTTCTCTTTCTCAGAATTTCTTCAAAATGTGTTGTATACTGTAAACTCGCTAACTTTTTTGTTCACATCCATAACACGTTTATTTTTCCCATTTAAAATCTAAATAGTGTTTACAGATTGATATTGTTCTGATCCCATAACTCCCATGGTTAGTTGTTTTGGAAAATATGTTATATGTTTCAATATAATCTTAACTTTTTATGTTTTGAGTTTTTACTGCAAATATCACATCCTTAACGCTGGAATTGCTCATGTGTACTATAATAAGTCTAGATGGCAATGTATGTAAAATAGCTCAGTGGAGATGAAGTACAGTATGCACACTATGCTATTGCTTTAAAGACTTTTATTTGGACTGTACATGCTAAAGTGTCTCCTTGGACACATTTTGTCTGGAAGAAATGTGTAAGTTTATTAAAGTGCAAAAAAAAAAGATGCTTAACTGAAAACACCAGCAAGTCAATTCTCTTGAAGTAACACCTGATAGGAGCATGATTGCTGCTGCTGGTAAGTTCTGCACAATCATTACTTAAAATCAACGATTTTCATATGAATATTTGTATTGTTTATCCTCCAGTTTTATTATAAAACACTTTTTGACTGTTACTTTTAAAAGGTGCTATAGGACTACATCTATTTCGTAATCATTAAACCTTTTATTTTTTATTCCTATACCTTATTTAATTTCAGGTTATCAACACATTCGCATGTATGACTTAAATTCAAACAATCCAAACCCTGTGATCAATTACGATGGAGTCAGCAAGAACATCACGTCTGTGGGCTTTCATGAGGATGGTCGGTGGATGTACACGGGTGGAGAAGACTGCATGGCTCGCATCTGGGACCTGAGGTACTGAGTCCTGTTTGCTTAACGAAAATAGATTAAATAGTTCATGCAGTAGATGTTTTTCTCAAGTACTGTTTCCATTCAGGTCCCGAAACCTTCAGTGCCAAAGAATATTTCAAGTCAATGCACCCATTAATTGCGTGTGTCTTCATCCCAATCAGGTCAGTTAAAACATTTCATTACTTTTTTAAATTCTCATAAGCAAACGAATCACATTTTCTTTAAATGTTCCTGTTTTAGGCCGAACTAATCGTTGGGGACCAAAGTGGTGTTATCCATATCTGGGATTTGAAAACTGACCACAATGAACAACTCATCCCAGAGCCAGACGTCTCCGTCAATTCAGTCCATATCGATCCTGATGCCAGTTATATGGCTGCAGTCAACAGCTCGGTCAGTAAACCGTCAATATGGCACTCTGCTAATGAAGCTGTGTTCATGTGGAGGTATTAAGGGGGAATTCACCTCAAAAGTGAAAATCGTCATTTACTCGCATGGTTTTCAAAACTTACAATACATGTGTTCATTTTAGAAAAACAAATTAATGTGTATTTAAATAAAATCTTAAGGATTTCTCTCCTTCTACCTAAAGTCTGTTAAACTTTAAAATATTAAAGAGATGTAAAACAAATCCATATAAATCAAGTGGTTTAAGACTTTTGAAAACACACAGTTGATTTATATGATGAAAAGATTGAATTTAGGCTTTCTTATACATGCAAACATTGATCAGAAAATATAAACAGAAGCTCAACCTCACCAGATGTCTGTGCTTCTTATGTGAACTGGATTTGATTATGGATGATTTGACATAATCCCAGTGAGTGTTGTTCTTCAAAAGTCATCCAGGAACTTTTTTTTTTATATAATTACAGGTCTGGTAGCTCAAACATGCTTGAGAGCAGGCTTACTTCATGTAAACAGGATTAGATTGAGTCAGGTGAAGGTGATACTGATAGTATGTACCAACTACTGATACTTTCAGCATGCGCCCAAATAATCTGAATTAAAAGAAAAGAATCATTTCACACTCTTATGTAATCTACACTCCATAATTAAAGTACAAAATCTGCTGATATCTTTCTAAAGGTTCAAATAAAACATTTTTGTACTTTGTGATTGGAATATACTTTTTAAGTAGTAATACACTATATATTTTTAAGATACCAACAAGGACCTTTAAGATACAAACGCATACTTTGAAATGGTTCTGTCCCAGTTTTGTACAAATTCTGAGAGTGTATGATAAAAGATATGGCAGATAATATATACATATATAAATAATAATTGTATAGTTTATAGAATCATGTAGATGTTGAGAGCTAATATGTGCCTTATGTAGAAACTTGAATACTTTTAAAGAAAATGACCTCCAAAAGTAAAACCAAATAAATAGCTAAATCTTTGACACTTGAAAGTGTGAAGCCTGCACAAACAGCCTGCAACAAACGTGGGAAGTTCTTGCATATTATATTGAACAAACCGTTAAATTCACTATGAATTTTGTAGTTTTGCTGAAATGGCTCATAAATGACGATTATTCAGATGAAGGCATTAGCCAGTCAATCAGCAAGTATTTTACTGCATTGCTAATCATGATTTCAAGGATCAAGAGATCTGTCCTTACAGCAAACACAAGAACACAGAGAAGAATGGACCCCTGTTTGTCACACAAGAACAAACCTATTTGGTTCTTGCAGATGTTCAGGCATGCCATGTGACACAAAATATTACCCTCATTTTTTTTTTTTTTTGGTGTAAAGCCTCTATCCGTGAGCTTCCATGATCAATTTGAATGTTGTAAACATTCTTCATATTTGGTTAATTTTTCTTTCTGTAGGGCAACTGTTATGTGTGGAATTTGGCTGGAGGAATGGGGGATGAAGTGACGCAACTCATACCCAAGACAAAGATCCCAGCTCACAAACGCTACTCATTACGCTGCAAATTCAGCCCAGACTCCACGTAAGTGTCTTGCAATACTAGAAGGACAATAAGAGAACTGTAAAAAAGGAACAGAAATGCCTTCATTTATTTCATACTGTTCTCCAATTTTACTGTTGTACATCAAAAAACACCATCATTAATTTTCGGTGTTGTTTTGACCTCTCTCATTAGAAGGAAATTGTATTGCATGTTTAGCTAATAGTAAACTATTTGGCAAACACACAATACAAGGAAAAACAATTCTGTCTGTGAGTTCACCGTTACACACTTTTAAATGGCCCTGATGTAGACAAAGTTATGCCAATTGTGTGCTAGTTTAAAGATCCGAGCTTATACTGAGGCTAATACGCACAAACATTGGATGGCCGTTCACATATTGCATATTTTCCACACGCAAGTTCATTTTCCAATGGAGACGTGCGCTTATTAGGAGTGGTGTGCACATGGCTTGTAGAGCGGACCGACGCACTCGCACTCTTATGTTAGACGAATGATTACAAATTGTTCAAATGATTATGTATGTATGACTGCAGATAATAACAACAGTTCATTTAAATTCTTAGCTAATATATAGCTAAAAATTAACATTAGACAAATATTTTTATTTATTTATTCTTATTTTTTTATATTTATTCATAGTTCTGTCATTTATTTTTATTGTAAAATTATGACTCATGTTTAAATCATTTTCATTCATTTTCATTTATTTCAAATTCATTTATTTTTAAGTTCAAAGAGAGAAATGGACAAATGTTAGTTTATTATTAACAATATTTTGTGCTGTATTTGATTACTGAGCAGCAAACAACATTTTAAAATATAGGCAGTTTTCTTGTGATTTTCTAAACTAGTGGTGTTTTGAATGTAATAAATGCACAATAATGGTAATAATTGTGAAACCATGATTATTCTTCAGACTATATCGTACAACCAAAATCATTGCATTTCTAATTGATTTTGTTGTGCTTTGAAATACAACATTTGAATACACATTGTACAATCCCGTGATATTATGTAGTTTTAAAATACAACATTTTAACGTTTTGGTGTAAAAAAAAAAAAAAAAAGCCAACGTGGGTGTCTCAAGGAGCAAATTACAGCATGTGGGCTCTTATATTGCAGTTGTGTCATCACTTATATTGCAAGTCATGTCTCTCCGGCCCCTCATTTTGGATGCATTTCATGAACTGGCCCCCATTACAAACTCATTAAATAGCCCTGGCCTACATCCTTCATGTTAAATAATCAGTACATATGAAACTATATGTAATAACTGACAGTTGAATTACTGTTAAATCCAATATTGTCTAGACCAGGGATTTTCAACCATTTAGAACATGCCCCTCCCAAGTTTGTCCAATTTCACAGCCCTGACATTGGGGTTGAGTCAAACATTGAGTACGTTTACATGGACACTAATACTTAATTATGATGAAGACAATACTCTAATTAAGAGTCTACCATGTAAACAGCAAATTTTTTTTTTTTTTGATTACCTTAATTTGACTAAAATCATAATTGAACTAAACAGAAATGGATTTAAGACATGTGGAGTATGCATATATTAGTGGAATTATTGAAGTAAACACCACAATCAAACTTATTACCGTCATGTAGGACTTTTTGCTGCATTTTGTGACATTATCCACACACACGCCTCAGTAAAGGACTGCAGACACACACCGTGAAATAGGTAGTTTTTTTCTTTCCATCTGGCTTGCGGTATTATATTCCGTTAAAACAACGCTCTTCCAGTCCTTACTCCATACTCTTATCTAATACACCAGTTTGTCATGGCGCATGAATGTACTGTTCATGAGTGAAAGTGAAACTGCCAAACTGCATTTAAAGTTGAAAAATTTAAGATGAAACCTAAAATTACATAAAACTCTGCAAGAAACATGGATAGCCTGGTGATGTAACATTCAAAAAGCACTTTATGTAAAAATCTTAATTATATTATTGTCTTATTTAGATTAAAGCAAATAACTATTACTGATGTCCATGTAAACTTAGTCAGAAGTGTCTTCAAAGGAAGTAAAAAGATCCACTTAGGCACTTTTAATTACCGTCATTCATTTTAAGAAGCACCCGGCCCTTTTTATTGTATAGACTATTTCAAGGTGATGTCATTGGCCCAAAAACATTTCCTGTTTGTTTTCAAACTATTTCATAAGACAATTCAATCATATCTTAATGTTAAAACGCCTTTCATAACATTATTAATCAATTTGTAAACCATTTCGGATTATCTGAAGCTATGAAAATTCAAATATATATATATATATATATATATATATATAGCAGGGAATATGTTAGGACCATTGTTATTGTTTACATCCATCTAAATATTGTATATATATTTTATTCGAACACATTAACTCTACAGGTGCCTGATAGTTAGCGGTGGAACTAACGTTAATCAGATTCACTCTAGTGGATGAATTCAAATTGTCATCATAATGTACTCGAGTGCACGCCTCAAATTCCCGCGCCCCCCTTTATAGGTGCTGGTTCCCCACAGGTCAAAAACCACCGGTCTACACAGCATAATTTAACAATCTCTCTAAAAATCCAGAAAACCAATTCTTGATAAAATGAATTGAACAAAGTTTTTACTGACATGGTGTGGAACTTAGATAGACTCTGCTAATGATGAGATCAGAAGGGAGACAATGCAAAAACTGGATTTTTCCCCAAAAACAAAATTTGTGGTTTTGTTATAGATCTGTGTCTGCATGTCACATTATTACGTTATAAAATGGCTCCAACCTGTCATTTGGGCACATTGGTTGGCTTTAATATAAGTTTTCTTATATTTTCCTAGTACAGCATCCTCTTAAATACTTCACAATGCTTGCAATTTTGTTAAGAAAAACTCTATATAATAAAAAATAAATCAATGCAGAAATGTTTCCACTTTGTACTAGATTGCTGGCCACATGCTCTGCTGACCAGACCTGTAAAATTTGGAGAACCTCAAACTTCTCACTGATGACAGAGTTGAGCATTAAGAGTAACAACCCAGGAGAGACGTCGCGAGGCTGGATGTGGGATTGTGCCTTTTCTGGAGATTCACAGTACATTGTCACAGGTGAGCACAGGGATCTCAGTGGTTCAAATGTGAGTTGATTGACCATGTTTTCTCATCCGGTGCAGGATTTGATCTCACTTTACATTAGTTGTAATTGGGTTATTTTTGTGAGGAATAGGAGTTATTTTAGGATCAGGTTTCATAGTGCTGGTTATGTTAACTATTTATTGGGTGAAGAATCATAAATGGTAACTTCATTGACTACAATATATATTTTATTGAAAATTCTTATAATAGTATTTCAGCCAGGGATTAAGGGTTATTGTTTTATGTAGACAGTAAGTGCAGTGTTTGTTATAATAACACATAAAAAACCCACCCAAAAGAATTTCAACTACAGTTTATTTATATAAGACAAATGCTTCCATCACATATTCCTATACAGAATATTCACCTTATTCTGCAATGCAGATGTAAATTCTTTCCTGCAGTTGTTTTGGGACTTCCAATTTCTTTCTTGTGGGGAAATGAGTTGAAATGACAAATGGTAGTAAATGGTCAAACTGTTTTCTATTGTGTTTATAGCAATGCAAGAAAATAAAAATGATATAAAATAACAAAATCAAGCTGCATATTACGTTAAAAATCAATGGAAGTAAATGGGACCAGAAGTCTTGAGGCAATTATGTTTTAATGGCTGCACACGCTCTTACGTGAAAGAAAAAGGTCAATACTGATGGATCAAAATCAGTGGACCGTAAATTGTTTTCATATAATCAACCAAAATTTATATCACTTCCCATGTACAGCTTAATTTTCTTTACAACAGAAGCAAACATTATCATCTTAGTTTGACTACATATTCAGTGGAACTGCATTTTTTTATTGTACTTTTTTTTTTAAATGTAATCCAGCACTTATGATATGAACTTTTTACAAAGTCCTGTAAATAAGAACTACCGTGTGAAATAGTGTGCCCTTCACAAAAAAAATCATGCGGTTTATTCCTGTTGATGTGTTGACTGTTGTATCTTTTCATCTGGTTTTCAGCCTCCTCTGATAACCTTGCTCGTCTGTGGTGTGTGGAGACCGGAGAGATCAAGCGGGAGTACAGCGGCCATCAGAAGGCCGTTGTGTGTTTGGCCTTCAATGACAGTGTGCTTGGATAGTATGTAAAACAAACTCACATTATAGCTGATGCTATTAAAACACAAACAGCATCCATTAATCGTGGTATTAAGGGGATAATTTACTTGAAATTTAAATTTGCTGTTAATTTACTCACCCTCAGGCCATCCAGGTGATTTGTCTTGTGTCTTCATTAGAGCATTAAAGGTTTTTTTTTTAAAGTGGTGCTTGTTAAATTCATAAATGCAAGTCCACGACCGGCTCTTTTATAATAATAAAAAAAAAAAAAACTGGCAAAACAATCTTCTAACCCAAGGCTAAGTGTTTATAAACGAATTACCATTTTCAATAAGGTTGACATTTTCAGCTACAAATCTTGGCCTAAGGTTGAATAAATTAACAGCAGATTTAAATTTTTAGACGAAACATCCCTATAAAATAGATTACGTTCATATGTAAAAAGAGTTTTTGTTGCAATATCGTCATTTTTTTAAGCCCTTATATTATAATACCTTGTATTAGAATACATCTAGTGTGCTTCATTTATACTCACCTACAAATTGTCAAAAATACATTACATTAATGATTAATATTCAGACGTCAAAAAGATTATTTAATTCTAGAATTAAAAACTGAACGTACAACAGACTGAACACAATGGAGCTTTATTGTAGACCAATCGTTTTTTTCCATTACTCATCTGCATCAGGTTACAAGAGGTACGAGTCTTTGCGCCAAGGCATGTTCAAACATCACTGCAAAAATGGGGCTAAATACAAGAGAGGGTGAAGATAAGGATTTAGCAGATAACATGACATGATGGTTCCGCCCGTGTTGCCAGATTGGCATTATGTATGGCATTTGTGTAGCCTCTCCAGTTGCTCTCATTGAAGTCGGCGCAGTTTGTTTCTCTGGCGTGTGTTGAAACACCGTCGCTTGAATGTCACTCTGGCAAGTAGTAGAAACACACGGAAACGCAAATGTTGCTGGGGAAGCAGATGTCGATGCAGAAGTAAATAAGTCTTTGTTTTCCGGGACCTTCAGGAAGAAAGGAGAGAAATCTTAAGGTTCTTATTTCTCTATGGATGTGCCGATGACATTCGTCCTGTTCTTCGTTCATGCTCTGCTGGCTCTAAAAAAGGTCACAACTCCATCACTGGACAACTAGATTGGGTTTCTGTCACACTGTGCTCTTTAAAGAGCAACTCAGCATGTTCTTGGCTTCTTACGCAATGTCTTCTGGATATTTACGTCATCAAAATTAATTTGTTCAGTGTTTTATTCACAATATTTTACTAAGAGGAATATTCTGGGTGCAGTTCAATTTTAGCTCAGCATAGCATTTGAGGTATATTATTGATAAATTCTTCATCAAAAACCAACTTCGCAAAAGTTGTTTTATACACATAGAAAGCATATTAAATGCAAGTGTATGCTGTAATATTTCAGCTAATCTTTGTTGAAATAAAATGTAAAAATAATATGTTGTGGACAGATGCTGTTTTATCATCATTTTTGTTTATTTTGCTGGAGAGGAAAGAGATGAGCTCATATTTACATATTTAGAGGTCAAAAGTAGAGAACAAATTAAAATTTCTTTAAGTCATTCAATCCTATTTGAAATGAACCTAACAAAAGAACAGTTTTTAAAGAACGTTTCATATATTTGGAAGCACAGAATAAAAATGTAATTATAAATATCAGAGAATGCTTTCAGATTTTTCCCATTGGTGTTGATTTGGTGGTAATTTCTTTAATTATCTGACTAAGTCTATTTAACTGACAGTATATTATTGAGATGAAAGCATAATGTAGTAAATCGCAATGGTCAGATCTGTCCTAGACATCGCTGAACAGACTAAATGTCAATTTAAGATGACATTTAGGAGAATCTGGACTGAAAGCCTCTGCAGTGTCTAAACCTTCAGAAAAGATCAAAAAGCTGGACGTCACTTTAATGATGAATGGAACCTTAACTCCCAAAAAGAAACCTTATGTGTGTCAGTAAACTGGGGAAGGTCTGAACCCAAACTGTAAATGTGGAGGTGAAGTGTCATGGATCAGTGTTGTTTTCTACAGCAAGAGTTTGGCCTCTTGTTGTGAAAGCAAATGTTTATAAAAAAATTCATCAACAACATGCAGTCCCTTCTTTTCTTTTATTGCTCAGTCATTCAGCAATTTTCATGCATGACAAAGAGTCTCGTCAAACAGTAAATTGACTAAAACAGTTCCTTAAAGCTGAAATGACCAGCCAAGATTCCTGACCTAAACCTGATTGAAAATACTGGAAAATCCTTGAAGACAAATTTATGGCTAAGAAACACTACAGTCAATGAATTGTGGAAGAGACTGAAGAAGAGCAGATCAAGTGATGGCCTGTAAGAGACTAGTGATGTCCTGTGGCAGCAAATCTGCTGAAGGCCTTTTAACTTCCCACTCATTTTTAAGCTGTAGTCTTAAAAAATTGTAGTTGTTATTTTTCTGTTTTATTACATTTGATCTTAAAATGTGTAAAGTAGCAACTACCAGGGTTCACTTTTTAAGGGGTCTTAAAAAGTCTTAATCTTCATCTAGCCAAACAATCACCAGCAATGCATCTCAATAAAACTTAAAAAATTAAATTGTATTAATTAAAAATGTAATTTTTAACTCTATCATAATGGTTAAATTATTTTCCTTACAATAACACTTGTTTAAAAGTGCTCCATGTATTTACTGCTAAGGACACCGACCTAGACAGATTGTTGTTCATATATTTAGTTTATCATAGTTTTTAAAACATAAAACATTTGTTATTTCTATTATTTCAAAGAAAGTTCATGTTGGAAAAAAAAGTGTATGGATACAAGTTGAGCTTGTTTTTTTACACAATTTTAAAAATATTTAATGACTAATTTATTATTGTATTATTAAATGAATAAATTATATATTTATTATTGGGCAAATAAAAATCTTTTCTATCTGGGCCATTAAAAACATTATTTAACCTTTAGCCCTTTATGGGTCTAAAATTTAATTCATAATGGTCTTAAAAATTTCTTTAAAATTCTTAAATTTAGCTTGGTGAAACCTGCAGAAACACTGAACTACATTTCCTTCAAAATGATAAAGATTGCATTATTTATGGAGAAATCAAGTTTATGAATTCTCAAATTCTGATTACCACTAAACATGTAAAGTTTGTACTGCTCCCAGACTTGTGAATGGTATGAATGCTAGTGTGCATTTATCATGCTGAACCGTTCTAAGAACACTTCGGTACGGTAACGGTTGTTTCTCCACTGAGCCTGGAACGGTGCGGCATGACTATAAACCGTTCTTGACCTGTAATTCTCGGCACGGTTAGACAACCGTAGATATTTTATTTATTAAAGTTATTATTTCATTGACGTGAATACAATTAGCCTAACCATGTATGATATATCTAACCCGTCATCTAAAATCTTAGAATAAAATAGCCTATTGTTTTATTCATGGCTGGAGTTTGATTAATTTGATTGAAATCATAGGCAATAAGACCTATAAATTTCCTGACTGAATGTGAGTTTGCACGCGGCACTGCATTTGGTAGCACAAAACTCGCTCTGATCCGGGTGAGAACTTTACCAAAGACTACAAGCGCTGCTGAAAGACTTTTTTTCCTGCTGTGCATCGAGTAAAGCTTATAAAGACATGCTTAACATCATCGATGTCCACAACAACATCACTATATCCATGGAACACGAGGAAATAATTGCACTTTTTAATTCAAAGCCCAGACGGCTTGTTAATTTAATACAGACGAGACAACCTGAAGGATGGTTACAGCATGTTGTAATGTCGGCTGTCCAAAAGTCTACGGTCGTCTCATCTGCCACAGTCTTACCTTCAGATCTTCTAGTCCAGTAGACAGAGGCCTGTTCACAGAGCGACTGAAGAGGTTCTTGAAGACTTGAAGCTTCGACACGACTGCCAGGCATCACTCCCAAAAACTCAGTATGTTTTTCAGTCTGATTTCCCACCACCCAGACCTGACGGACCTGTGAGAATCATCACATATCTCAGTGTATATCATTCTCGGTAAATTATCCTCTAATGGCGTGATACACTCCAGCCATATTATTCCTGTGTGAACGCATACACTGTATAACTCACCAACGTATAATTGTGTCTTGAGGGGTTTTAAGTGTTTCCTTGAGTACAAAAGGCATTTGTAATTACACCACTTACTCCTCTGAGAGATCAGATAGACACTTGCTAAAGCGCAGCAATGCTTGAGCGAGCCTGCGACAAGCAGTTTATACTTCTCAATAGCTCATTGTGCACCGAAAAATTGGAAATCGTGTTCAAAAGGCTATTGACCACAGATTGGGTTTCCCAAAAGTTTGCTCTAATGGCTTTAATCAAACGCAATGATGCAAAAATCTCAACCAAGATTTTAAGTGGTCAGTGATACTTATCGGTTCAACAAGCCAGCCCGTCCAGCACAGATCATAACCCAGCGCATGAATCAGCTTGTTAAGTGCTGAGAGAAGTGTGTCCAGCGCAGGTCTCTGCTCTGTTTGCGGAAGAAAGCTCTGTCTTTCCAGTAGTGACTTATAAGAGGAAAAAGCCAACAGAGTGGCCATTGTGCACCCTGTGGTCCCATCCTGTAAGGCGATCCAGCAGAGGTGGATCAGATGGTCTGTGGAATTCGGGCTCTCCTGGGCTGGTCCGCTCCATTACTCCCTTTCTGGAGATGTGGAGGAGAAAGCAGCCAAAAGAGCTCTCTAATCTACACGGGAGCACTGAGGTGGTGCTGCGTTCAAGTGTCAGTCAATTTGCCAGACAGCTTTAGGTTTACTTTAGGGTTGTTTTAACCCAACAATGGGTCAAACATGGACAAATCCATCCATTGGGTTAAGAAGTATCAAGTTTTGTCCATTTTGACCTAATGTCTTTAGTGTTAGGACTTGAATTAAAAATTAGCCAGTTCTTTCTTAAAGAACATGAAGCATTTAAATAAATAAATAGAATTTACATTTGACATTTCTCATTATAATGGGAAAAAAATGGAAATTTGAAATGTTTTACCTGTGATGGCACTGCTAAACTTCAAGCAGCCATTGCACCAATGTCACATGACCCTCAGAAGTCATTCTAATATAATTTGAGGCTCAAGATATGTGTGTATTTTATCAGCATTGAAAACAATATTGCGAGTATTTTTTTCGGGAAAACCATACATTTTTTTTTTTTTTTTTAGTTTTTTATAAACACTTATCTGACACATTTTTTTTGTTTTTTTTTTTGCTTTATTTCACTGCTATTTGTGCTACAGGAGGGATTTTAGTTAGAGATTCTTAGATTAGAACTACATAAAATGTATTTATTTTTGTATTTAAAAATCTTTCTCTGTGTGTACATATGCTGTAAAATGTAAAAAAGGAAAAGAAAACAGCAGCTGTGGTTGCCAGAATTTTTAAAAACTCGGGTCACACATTATTTTGATGGTCCGCTTATTGAATTTAAGTTACATTACATCTACATGCCAACTAAGTCTCATTAGATCATAAGTAAGAAGACTGTTAGGTTGGGGGTTTGAGTTAGTGTAAGTTGACATGTACAGTACTTGCAAAGTTTCTTATAGTCAGGTAAATGTCTGCTGAAGAAGCAGTATCAGCAGATATTAAACAGAAAGTCTACTAATACTCAAATAGACCAACAAAATAAAGTTACCAAAACTAAAAGAAACCGCAATTATTTTATTTTATGGTAAACTACCGTATCTCATTAATTTATAGTGGTAAAACACTGTTAAAGTGTTAAAATCTACACATTTATCTTTATTACACTGACAAAAGTCATATAATGAACCAAAGCTCATCACAAACATGTTTTCCACAAACAGAGAAACATAATTTACTAAACTATTATGGTGACACATATGAAGTTAAAGAAAATTCAAGATTAGATTGAATCGAACTCTAATATAAGTAACCAATGAGAGAGAAAAAACATTGCAATGTAAACCAAAACTAAATAAATAAATAAAAATTGTGAAGTGTGATGAAGGGAATTCTAGGAAAGTCAATTTACAGTTAATTACCACATATATGAAGGAAACTTATGTTACAAATTTTTACAATCAAAATCATGGCCAGTTTTATCCCGTATTTTTGATTGGAATGGAAATCATTAAACAATTCATTGCTAAATAAAAATATTAAAAACAAACAGTACCACAAAACACTTCAGCTGAAGCACAATTACAGCAAACTCAACAGGCTGAAGTCTTTTTACCAGCTGCTCTGACTCGTTCAGTTGAGACTGCATGTTCTCAAAATCCCAGCTCTCCATCCGGCGAAGAAAGCAGCTGTCCTGGTTGTCAGGTTTATAGCAAACCAAGCCCTGAGGAAGCCAGATATCAAAATGTAACTGAGCTTTATAGGGGAAAAGAAGCTTAAGCTGTGGAGAAAGAAAGGGGTCTTACATGTCTCAGGTCAAAAATGACCGTGGAGCT